CCCACCTAAACCTTGCTGGACAAAACTCAAATGACAAAACTAACCTTATCTTTGAGTTCAAAATATGTAACGAAAAGTTAGGCTAAGTATGTAACTGGAAATGTCTCCTACATTTGTATTCTTTCGCTACTTTTTTGCTGTGTAAGTGCCACTCTTTTCAAAGTATCCGTGCTCCGAATCTTCAAGAAATCAGTCTAAAAATCGATCAACAAAAATGTCAACAATTATGTTGTTTTTTTTGTCAAACCGAAATGCATTACCACGTCAAAGAGTTGGTAGGCCTTTCTTAATCTCAATTCAGACTATTGCCCTCGTGACCGATGAAACTGTAACAGATATTACCCTCGGCTCTTTCGAATCCTTTGCAGGTCGCAAGAAATCTTCGCATAGCTAGTGAGCAGTTCTTCTGATCTTCATACTCAGGCACTCATGTTGTTCTTGTTTCTCCTCTTCTTGTGGGTTGCTCTGTTTACGCCAAAAACATTGTTTAGCAGCTTAAAATAGAGAAAGTAGCATTGTGAGAATCATCCTGCGTTATGTGCTCTGTTCTTGGTGATAAGAATTAGGGTTTGTGTACTCTCTTCTTATCAGTTGGACTTTAAGCATCGATAGATTATCGAAGCTTAGTCCAAGAGGAGATTGCTTCTCTTTCTCATTGTTAAGAACGGTAAGTAAATTCCACAACAATTGGTTTAGCCACAACTTGTGACACAATTGCAATCTTGTTCAAATGATTCAAACACATCAAACTGCGAAAATTCGTAAATGCAGGTACCTGAACGTTTGTGTTGGGTACAAAATTCGAAGATCTAATAGGGTAAAAGTAAAACATGCAAAAGCTGACTTCTTTATATATTAGATAAATAGCAAAACATAAGTTAATATTTGACACTTAAGTAATCTTGATCAAAAGGAGATGATACAAGAAACAAATAATGTGTAGCAAAATGAAACTACTTAATAATCAATCTCTTTCTTTCCTTTTGCCCCGTTGGTTGATTTGTAGTTTCACTAAACTTGGAACATAAGATGAGAACAGAAGTGGGTTATTTTGTCCAGAACAGCAGTCCGGAGTTTCTCCAAATTTCACAGATTTGAAATATCCACTTTCTCCAATGATGTAAGTTGTTCGGTAGAAAGAAGTCTGGGTCCATCTAGAACCGAGTGAATCGAAAACCACAATGACTTTTTTCTCCTCGTCAATGAAGAAGCTCTCAGCATAAAACCTGTCTGGAAAAGTAGTGAGATCCACTTTCAAGAAATTGCTCCAAGATACCACATTCGGCTCAATCTTAGTTGTAATATATATCTCCATTATTGCATTGTACCGTTGAAATAAGACAGCGAGGTGCTCATCTCTTACACAAGATAAAGTCGCGTGTTCTGAAAGCCAAACGTAAGAGTGCAACGGCAGAGGAAGGCGCGGTCCAAATCTCTCGGCAGTAAAATCAAAACATAGTAAAAAAACTTCAACATTTGGAGCTGATGACAAACCTTTTACTTTTTCTCGAGCAAAAAAGTAAGTATTTCCCTTCAAAGATACACCGCTTTTTATGTCACAGTGGGGATAGACATCAAGAACCCTCCATGCATTAGAGTTAAAATTGTAGATTTCAAAAAAGACAGGAAGATCTGAGTACTCAAAAACATCCAAGAACCTCAAGATTTTGTGGTTACGGTTCTTGTTGTTGTTATCGTATCCTAAAGCAAACATGTCCAATATTTTGTATCTGTGGAATTTGTTTATGGGTTTAATCAACCTAGTTTCCCCCAAATAAGGGTTCCACACCACCCGCCACCTGTTGTCTCTGATGACGCATAACAATAAGCCGTCCCAATGAAATACTTGAACTATTCGAGTTGTTTAAGTATACTAACTCTCTTTATAGGTGAATACACAAAGTCGCCGTTATTGCGGAGTCTTTGGAGATCAAGTTTCCATTGAATAAACCCTAGAGTCCATCACCATGAACCCTAGAGACTGCTTCCTTGTTTTGCCAAAAATATGATTTTTTGATAAATCGTTCCACGTTTTACAAGTAGACCGCACTGAGCTTAGTGATGTTAATGGAACCCTAGAGAGTATCTCCTCTACCAAAGCTAACGGAAGATCAGACATTGTCGTCGTCATTCTTCCAATTAAGTTACAAAGAACTTTCTACGCTCTAAGAATTGGTTGTTTAATCTCTGGCTTATTATATAGAAAAATTTGTTGGTTCTATATGTATCTTTGGTAGGATGAGGTGATTTATATTCGTGCAAACAAATTTACTTATGCTCTTGTAACCTTATCCTGGTACGATTAGGTTTTCAAGGTTCCTTATTTTAGGTTAAATAAGGGTTTTGAAAATATCACTACAAAAAAAGTCCACATTGATAGCATACCGTAATAGCACGGTTTACCAAACTGCTGTTGAAGATGTTATGTAATTATGGTTGTTATATGATAGCATTTCATAAACGCTAAGATAGAATTTCAATGAGCGGGAACCCAAAATCCCTAATTCCGCCAAACACTTGGTCAAAATTCCCTAAACACTTAGTCAAAATTCTTTAATCACTTAAGCACAAAACACGCGTTTTCTCTTCCCTCTTTCTCGAAAACCCTAAGACAGAACTCTCTCAAACCTAACTCTCTTTGAAGACGATCTGACTCTTCCAATCGCCGATTAAGCCCTCTGTCGCCGCCGTTGAAAGTCGCCGTGAAACTGAACCTGACGCCGGCACTATTTCCGCCTTAGATCTGTCGGATTTGAGCTCAAATCGAAGGCATGTCCTTTATTCAGTTGATTTTTTCTTCTTTTTCGTATTTCTTCTAGGTTTCTTTCTTTCAAATCTAGCTCAAGTCTGATGTTCTAGGTACACCAAATCTAGCTAAAGTCTAATCGATTCTTGTTTTGCATGCCTCTGTTATTTGCGATTTCAGAACGATTTCATAACATTATTGTTTTTGTGGTTTGATTTAGGCGTATTTGAACAAAATTTCTTTAAAAACTTGGATATGTGCTATGTAATTCGGATCTTCTTTTCGTTATTGTCAGATAGAAATTGAGTATAAAATTGCTATGAAATTGTGTTTTGATATTGTCATATATATTCTCTTGATTGTTAATTCAATACCTTAATAATCTGTTTTTGCTATGTTGGATTCCGCCTTACTTGTGTTTACCCTAAACAAAACCAAACATCATAACTGGCATGTTCACTTGTGTTTCTTCAGACATCATAACTTGTGTTTCTTTTGACATCATAACTTGTATCTGATTTTTTAGTACTTTGAAAAAGAAACAAGAACTGAGCAGTGAATTGCGGGGACCAGTAACAGGATTAAATTGCATGTTCACTAAACTCATACTATTTTTCTGTGTTTGGTCCCATCTTCTTACTCTAGTATTTGTCCTTTTTCCAGTTTTGTTTCTTACTGAGATTGTGTTTATCTCTTTCGTTTGATTGGCAAATTTATCAGGTATAAAGTTCAGATTTTTTTTTTGTATTCTACCTTGTTTGTTGTCTGAATCTTGTTTTTATTGTTAGATCGATTAAGTTATTTTTTTTAGTCAAACTTTTAGTGATTCACTTTCTTGCATAACCTTATACTCACTCTATAATTTTGTTTTGCAAGTTTTGCTGAGTGAAATAATGGGACTTTGAAGCTTATCATTTGCTCTTATCATCACAAGACAGGTTAGTACCATCTTCTCTTACATGAGTTTGATTGTTTACCATGTTTTTTTGATTATAATACATTACTGTGAATGTCTTGTTGTGTATGCTACTATATATGAGGACAGGTTAGTACCGTATTTCTTGTTTCTAGCATATGAGTTTGATTGATTACAGTGTTTCTTGTTTTCAGTTTTATTTGTTTTAAATATGCTACTAAAGTTGAGTTACTGCACTTATCTTGTCTGATATTAAATTATTGAGATTTAAAACACTTAATCTAGTACATTACTGTTGATGTCTTGTTGGTTATGTTACTATATATGAGGACAGGTTAGTACCATGTTTCTAGTTTCTTTTATATGGTTTTTGATTGATAACCATGCTTTTTGTTTTAAGTTTAATTTGTCTTAAATATGCTACTATAGCTGAGTTAGTGTACTTATATAATCTGATATTGAACTATTGAGATTGCTTTGATTGAATATTATATATGTATGAGTTATTTGTTTACTGGTCTGAATATATTTTGAGTTAATTGCTTATGGTATTAAAGGTTTATATTACGGTATCAACATATAATGTTGGACAAGGATTGGGTGCATCTTGGCAGGTAAGGACTTTAATTATATAGGTTAGGTTTCAGTAGGGGTTTCAGAGACTTTACTTCTTCTTTTTTTCCCCTTTTATTCTGCAATGAAGAGCTGATCCTGCTTATGAGAGAGGGGCTACAAAGTTTGTACGGGCTGTGGCTGCAGCTTTGGGAGACGTTGATATGATTATATGTCCTTGCATTGATTGTCGTAATATAGATCGTCACCTAGGTAGTGTAGTTGTTGATCATCTTGTAACAAGGGGAATGGATGAAGCTTATAAGATGCGGTGTGACTGGTATCATCATGGAGAATTGAATGCAGTGGCTGAAAGTGAAAGCAAACTAAGTCACTGGAATGACGAGGTATTTGAGTTATATCAAGCTGCTGAGTATTTGGATGAAGAGTTTGCAGAAAAGCTTGACTTGGCTGAGATTGCAGAGGGTGATGACAAGAAAGAAGATGAGTTTCTTGCAAAGCTTGTAGATGCTGAAACTTCTTTATATCCAAGTTGTGTGAACCATAGCAAGCTGTCAGCTATTGTGTCTTTGTTTAGACTTAAGACACAAAATGGATGGTCTGACAAGAGCTTCAATGATATTCTAGAGACATTGCCGGAGATGTTACCAGAGGGGTGTGTGCTACACACATCATTGTATGAGGTGAAGAAGTTTTTGAAATCTTTTGATATGGGTTATCAAAAGATTCATGCTTGCGTTAATGACTGCTGCCTATTCAGAAAAAAGTACAAAAAGCTTGAGAATTGTCCTAAATGCAATGCTTCAAGATGAAAGACTAACTTGCACACTGGTGAAGTAAAGAAAGGTGTCCCACAGAAAGTATTACGGTACTTTCCGATAATTCCACGCCTTAAGAGAATGTTTAGGTCTGAGGAAATGGCTAAAGATTTAAGGTGGCATTTTAGCAACAAAAGCAGCGATGGAAAACTCCGTCACCCTGTAGATTCAGTAACATGGGATCAGATGAATGCCAAATACCCTTCATTTGCAGCCGAGGAAAGGAACTTGAGGCTTGGACTTTCCACAGATGGATTTAATCCATTCAACATGAAGAATACCAGGTATAGTTGCTGGCCCGTTTTGCTAGTAAACTACAATTTGCCTCCAGACTTATGCATGAAGAAGGAGAACATCATGTTGACATTGTTGATTCCTGGTCCACAACAGCCCGGTAATAGTATTGACGTCTACTTGGAACCACTTATAGAGGATCTATGCCATCTGTGGGATAATGGGGAGTTGACTTATGATGCTTTTAGTAAGTCAACATTTACTCTTAAGGCAATGCTGCTTTGGACAATTAGTGATTTTCCCGCGTACGGGAATCTTGCTGGCTGCAAAGTAAAGGGTAAAATGGGTTGTCCTTTATGTGGAAAAAATACAGATAGCATGTGGTTGAAATTCAGCAGAAAACATGTCTTTATGTGCCATAGAAAGGGTCTGCCCCCAACACATAGTTTTAGAGGGAAGAAGTCATGGTTTGATGGAAAAGCTGAACATGGGAGGAAGAGGAGAATATTAAGTGGCCAGGAGATTTATCAAAACCTGAAAAACTTTAAAAATAGCTTTGGGAACTTGAAACAACATGCAAGTAAGAGAAAACGTGTTGAATGTACTGGATCAAGTTCTGATAGTGATGATCTATCTAGTGAGTCAGAGGAGGATGAAGAGGAAGAGGTAACAGTAGATGAGGAGGAGTTATCAAGATGGAAGAAAAGGTCAATCTTTTTCAAGCTATCTTATTGGCAGGTGTGTCCTTTTTTCATGTTATTCTAGTATAGTCTTGGATTTAAACAAGTAAACTTTGTGTAACAGTTTTGTTGTTTTTTGCATTCTGGTTATAGGAACTCCCGGTTAGACATAACTTTGATGTCATGCATGTGGAGAGAAATGTGGCTGCGAGTATTGTATCGACATTGTTGCATTGTGGGAAATCCAAAGATGGTCTAAATGCTCGCAAAGATCTGGAGGAGCTTGGTATTAGAAAGGATTTGCACCCTAAAATCAAAGGAAAAAGAACATATCTTCCCGCAGCACTTTGGTCTCTGTCCAAGACAGAGAAGAAGATTTTCTGTAAGCGGCTATTTGACTTCAAAGGCCCAGATGGGTACTGTTCAAACATATCAAGAGGCGTCTCATTAGATGACTGTAAGGTCACAGGTCTGAAATCACACGATTATCACGTGTTAATGCAACAGCTTCTTCCGATTGCACTTAGAGGGTTGTTACCTAAAGGTCCTAGGGTAGCAATTGTGCGCTTATGCACATTTTTCAATCACTTGTGTCAGCGAGTAATTGATATGGAGCAGCTTTTGGTAATGGAAGCTGAGATTGTTGAAACCCTTTGCTTGTTTGAAAGATTCTTCCCGCCAAGTTTCTTTGATATCATGGTGCACTTGACAGTACATTTAGGCAGAGAAGCTCGGTTAGGTGGACCAGTTCATTTCAGATGGATGTACCCGTTTGAAAGGTATATGAAAGTTCTGAAGGATTTTGTGAGGAACACTGCAAGACCTGAAGGGTGTATTGCTGAGTGTTATCTAGCTGAAGAATGCATCCAGTTTTGTAGTGAATTTTTGAAGAAGACAACCAATGTTAAGAAAAGTGTAGATAGAAACACTGAGTATGAAAACAACACTATACTTGAGGGGCGTCCAATCTCTGCAGGCATCTCACTTAATCTTACTGAAATGGAGAAAAAAATAGCCCACATGGCTGTCATCCAGAATATGGCTGTCGTGGAGCCTTATGTAGAGTAAGTTCCACATTTTGCTAGTTCATTCATTAATTATATTTAGGATAAATGTCTGATTATTTCTTTTTCACTTTTTCTTTTAACAGTGAGCACCTACAGCATCTACAAGATTCCAATGGAAGATGCAGACGTGATGCATCACTGTTATGGAGTATGCACACTCAGAATTTTGCCTCTTGGCTTAAAGAACAGGCTAGTTATCTCTTACATAAACACCTAATGTAATTCAGTTTATGTATATAGGTGCTTGACCTTTTCTATTTACTTTTGTTAGATACATCTTGATTCAAACAGACATGGAGAAACACTGAAATGGTTGGCATATGGTCCACGTAGCTGCGCTAGGTCATATACTGGTTACATAGTGAATGGGCAACGATTTCACACAAGATCAGTTGATAAGAAAACTCAGAATAGTGGTATTTACTATGAGGCCACTGCAGTCTGTAGGTCTAGTGCGAAGGACACCTCACAAGTGGTTGATTTGGTATCATATTATGGTTGCATAACTGACATTATCTTGTTAGACTATAATGTGTTTTATGTTCCTTTGTTCCGCTGCAACTGGGCAGTAAAGGGCAATGGAGTGAAGGAAGAGGATGGTTTTACACTTGTAAATCTGAATCATAGTCAAGTCTCCTTTTTAAGGGATCCATACATACTAGCCTCTCAAGCAAAGCAAGTGTTTTACCTAAGGGAAGATGACTCATCAACTTGGTATGTTGCAATGAGAGGTCCTTCGAGAAGATTCAGTCAGAAAGAGTTTCAAGATGCAGTTGCAGACATTAGGCCATTGCCAACAAGTGTTGACATTGATGTTGACTTGGATGAGGCTGAAAATGAGAGATCTGATTGTGAAGGGATATATGTGTGAAATGTCTGATTTTTTACCTTAGCTCAAGTCTGATGTCTGCTTTTTTTTTTTAATTGTTTTTCCATTGTGTGTTTGATAGTTATTATGTTTGTTTTGCTTTGATGTCTGCTTTTAGTTCTTTTTAATCTACTAACTCTTTCTTCTTTCATTTTTATTAGGTGATTTAAAATGGCTGGACGCAAGAAAAAGCGAGGAAGAAACACTAAAAAAAAGGATGAGGAGGTAGAGTATGTGGGTACAATGGAACCACAACAAGAAGAACCAGCTGAAGTTCAAGCTGAAGATCCAGATCATTTGGAACCACAACATGAAGAACCAGCTGAGGTTCAAGTAGAAGTCCAAATGGGTGATAAAGAACCTGATGTGGAAGAGCCTGAAGGAGAGATATAATTTTCTGAGGGTCATGAGGTTGCTATTGAACCTAAGAGTAAGAGACAGCGAGGACCAACTAGGATGAAAGACATAGCCAAGGATCCAAATACCAGAGTTAGAGTAGAGTACAATATCATGGGAGAGCCTATTGGTAAAAGGTCAGTTAAGCTGTCATCATATGTTGGTGCATTGGTCCGAGAACATGTTCCTATCACAATTGATCGTTGGACAAAAATAGGTGAAGAAATCAAGACACTTCTCTGGAAATCTGTCCAGGTATCATTTCTCTAATTTTTCTTGTATTGCATTACGTTTTATCAGATATTGTAATTAAATTTACTGTTTTTTCTATTGAGTGCAGGCTAGGTTTGAACTAGATGAAGAGTACCAAAAGGTTGCAGTGCTTAAGCAGATGGGATGTTTGTGGAGGTCCTGGAAATCAAAGCAAATTACAAACATCAGAGAAGCTAAGACTAACCAGCAGAGGATGAATCTGCGACTTAAAAATGTTTCTCCAACCGATTGGCGTAAATTTGTGAAGCTCAAAACTAGCCAAGAATTTAAGGTATGCATCTGGAATCAGGATAATTAAGTTTATGTACTATATAGTATATTACAAGTTAACATTCATCTGTTAGGTTGTAAGCGATAGCTACAAGGAAAGAAGGCGCAAACAAATTCCTCACACTTGTAGTCGCAAGGGAATGGTTAGACTAGCAGAAGATATGGTAATCACATGACAGTTATGTTGTTTATATTGCTCAGCTTCTTTTTAAAACACTTATTAATATGTAATGATTTTTGTTTGGTTTAGAAAACTGGTAGTGCAGACCCATCTGAAGTGACAAGGCTAAAGGTTTGGGTTAAATCACGAACCAAGAAGATGGTACACCAGTGAACACTAATGCTGCTGAAAAGATTGTGAGTTTAAAATTTTGCTTCTAATGATGTGCATATTGGCATTTGGTTCTTAATCTGCTATTGAATCTGTATCTTATGAGTTGCAGAAAAAGGCAAATGAGATTGTTAACAGTGATGATCCATCGACTGCAACAAATGAAGCACAACAAGATTCACTTAGCCAACTGTTAGGGCCTGACAATCCTGGTAGAATGAGGGCAATGGGTAGAAATATGGATAAGACCAAGTTAGCTTGTTTCCAAGTGAAGCACAAGTGTATGGCTCAAATGCAAGAGAATCAGATTCAGCTCCAGCAGAAGGTCACTGAGTTAGAAGATGTAATTCTGAAAATGAAGAATCAGGTTAGAAACTTATCTATTTATACATTGTGAAGCTTATCTATTTATACATAAAGAAGCTCAAATAGTTCATAGTATTTGACTTTGTTTTTTATGTAACAGAGACAATCACCTGAGGTTGGTGAAAACTCAGCTGCAAGAGTAAGTGACTTATATCAAATGTTTTTGATTTCTTTGTTACTTTATAATCTAATATATTTTTCTTCTAATTACTTTTACAGAGTGTGAATAAAAGATCACAACCAAAGTGTGTCTTGATTGATTGGGCTGGTTCTGAGGAAAAAGTTGCTGAGGGGCTTATTATGTCTTCTGATCCTGATGAATTAGTTAATGAAAGTCGCTTAGGCCTTACGGATGTTAAAGTCTTGATTGTCACTGCTATTGTACCAGAAGCATTCCTTTGGAGACCTGCGATTAACATGTGCACCATTGAGAAAGTTGTTGGACATATGGTGGCCTGGCCATCTAGTTTGTGTGTTAATCTAGAAGAGGAGCTCCAACCAGAAGACATTGCAACCCTGGTAAACTTTATCACTCATTCTCATACTCATACATAGAAAGTATATGTTAACACTGGTTGAATGTGTTTGACAGGGATCAAGACCTAATTCTGTGAACAAGTGCAAGCTACTGGATTTGTCTTCATATGATGTTGTTGTTGCAGAAGGACGTTGGCAGACACAAGATGCCAATGCATTAGTTAATGGGCTTCCTCTCGGACCAGCAGCAGTGAAAATATTTGTGGATGCAGTGATTCAACCTGAGACATATATATGGAGGCCAACGATTGATGTCATGTACCTTGAGGACTGTTTACAGTCTTCTGTAGCTTGGCCTGCCAACAAAGTTGTCTTTGAAAACCATGCAGATGCAACATGTCAGAAGTCTCCACTTCATCAGGCTTCTGCATCAACTCATCAAACAACAACAGAAAAGGCAGCAGCATCAGGAGGAAAAGCACCATCATCAGGTCCACTAAATGCAGCAGCTGGTTATAAGTCTTCTGTTGAGATATCAAAATCCGTAGCCACAACAAAAGGAACGAAATCCGTAGCCACAGTTTCAAAATCTATTGTTGAGAAGTCTCCAGCAACATGTTCAAAGCCTCCTGTAAAGAAAAGTCAGTTAGCTTCACACTCCCCTCTACGAAGATCTCCGGTAAATTTAGCAGATGTTGTTACTTACTGATTCTGGTTATTATTATACATGAATTAAACCTGTTTATATTGTAATATGGCAGCGTAAAACTGGAGCTGAAGTTATCAAGGCTAATCAGAAGTGCAAGTTAATGGATATTAGTGGAAAGAGGCGGGTGGTTGGTGAAGGACGTGTGCATTCAATCGACCCAGACCAAAAGGTACACCATGTTCGCTTGGGGGCAAATGCAGCTAGAGTTTGGGTAGATGTAGTGAAGATAGATGATGCAGCAGTTTGGAGGCCATCAGATGAAATCGAGTATATGAGAGATTCACTTGGTTCATCTATTGCATGGCCAATGGATAAGTTGGTCATCTATTGAGTAGATGAAGAAACTGGGGTAAGTTTTGTAATTACTGTGATGCTTGTGTTTTGCTTTTATATCTGCTACTGATATGAGACTTTGTTGATTGTTGCAGGGAATGAAGAAACTTTGGTCCAGATTAGGTAGTTTTAATTAGTTTAAGACTAGACTAATCAGCTTCTGTTATGTACTTTGGAATCAGACTTGTTATGTCTTTTGGATTTAGACTTTTGTTATGTTGAATGATTCTGTATAACTTTCTAACTTTTGAATTGGAATCAGACTTATGTTACAATTTATATTCAGACTTATGTTTTCATGTTTATATTATGCAAAACAGGTATAGAATCAAAATATATAGCTCTCTGAAAATATATATAATAGCAAAATTAAAAGCCATAATTAAATTAAGTATAGCAATTCTTCACTGTCATTGTAGAAAATCAGATATTATAGCACAAAACATGAAGCTATGAAAACAAATTAAACAGCAAGAACAAATTGCTAACGTAGAAGAACCTATTATAGCACAAAATTTGAATTGTCGTTACTTTTTAACAAAAATTTCAGCTGCTATATCAAAATAAATAACAGCAGTTAAATAAAGCTATTGTATCTAAAACTATCATAGTATATCAAAATAACGCTATCGTAGGGGAAACACCTACCATAGCTGCCGATGTCACAGCATTTATGATTTCGCTATCAATAACGTAAGATAGCATATGGTTTGCGCTATCAATGAACGTTTTTCTTGTAGTGTATTGGCACGAGTTGTCACAATTATTAGGTGTACAAAGTAACGTGTTTAGTTAAATATTTTTGTGATCTTAACAAAAAAAAATGTTAAATATTTTGTGATTAACAGAATAACATAATTAACGCGTTTAGTTAAATATATAGTTAAATATCACCAAATACGTAAGTACGTAACCACGTTAAGAACCAATTGGTTCAACCTTGGATCATATCAATTATTTACATTAAATTTATCATATTTTTAAGCTAAGAAAAAATATAGAGTATCTAAATAAAAAAGTCCTCCAATGGTTAAGAATCTATTGGTTCTTAAGAAAACAAAAATTCAAATTTTGTATTTAGATGTCTTTCACTACAAGAAACCATATATACAAGCATTTATGCATTCATAGAAAGAAATAGAAGATGTACAAGCATTCATTCATTGTAGCTTTGCTATGAAAACTTAATTAGACATTCCTCTCTTATAAAAGGCAGCTTATATCAAAAGCTGAGGTAGACTTACCACAAGCCTTTCCTGCAGTATCATGAAGATCTGTTTCTTAGAATAGGCACGGAAAGTGACAACCAAATGTTTGCCTGCAATAATTGGAACAATACGTTAAAAGGAGTATACTCAACTTCTTTTATGCGTCAAAGCTTGGGGACATATGGTGAAGTAAGAAGAATATTCCACTGGTACACAATGATAAAAATGCTTACAGTTAAGAGACTTCAATTTTGCTAAAATCAATCCCAATTCCAAGAACCCTTATTTTGCTTGATTCATCAAATGTCACCAGCTCATGAATTCTCATTACCATAACTATCAAAAAGAAAGACTGACAGAAACAAAAAAACTGACAGAAATTCATCATATTCTCATTACCATTACCATACCACAAAGTTACCATTCATTTTAAAAACTGACATTTCAAGCATTACATTGAAACAAATAACAGAAACAAATAACAGACAAACTTATGAAACATGAAACAAAAGAAAGCAATAACTTATGACAGAAAGTCATTAATTAGTTTGTTCTTGAGAGCCTCTTCAATCTCAGTAAGTGGCTCTGTTTTGGATAGGAGACTGTCCAGCATCTTATTCTGGACTAACTTCGCATTCATTTCATTATCCTGCTTCTTGATCTCCCACATAGACTGAAAAACAGTGAGAGCCTTCCCTTCCTCTTCCACACTCCTTGGCTTGCTAACAGTCTTTTTTGCTTTCGCCTTTGCAGCCTTAACACCAATAGGACGAGGCATTGCTTCCTCTACTCCATGGGACAGTGGCTGAGAACTTCCGCAATGAGCAAACTTCTGAGTCTTTCTTCTTTTTGGTTGTCCAGTGGCTTTAGTAGAAGGGGCTGAACACCATTTCTGATCATGGCGAAGCTCTCTCCAAGCATGCTCAAGAGAGAACTTTGCATCATAGTCGTTGGTGAAGATTTGGTGAGCCAGTTTCATCACATCATTATCATTCTGGCCACTTGATTGTTGTTTTAATGCAGCCTCATAGCTCCCTACAAATTTGCATACACCATCATTGATCTTAGCCCACCTCTGCTTTATGTGATCTGTCTCCCTCCTTTCCACACCTTTGAGATTTGGACTTGCAGCATAATAGTCAGCAATACGTGACCAAAAGGCATTACCCTTTTGTTCATTGCCTATCACTGCATCCTTACTTGTGTTGAGCCAAGCACTGATGAGCACCATGTCTTCTGTGGGAGACCATTTCCTTCTCCCTCTTTTCACCTTAGGTGTGTGTGCAGCTTGGCTTGGAGAGCAGTACATTGGGTACTAAAGACAAGATCATACTCAGAAGGATTGGGATCCTGAGAGTGAACCTCTTGTTGACTAGTTAAGAGGTTCACAAAGCCTGAAGTTTGACTATATGGATATGGATCCATAGCCTAGTTCTCTGGTTAGTGTTGAAAGAAGCAGGATAGAACAAAAGGAAGTATTTTTGGTATGTGTTAAGTTAGAGATGAAGAGGTTCATATATAACAAGAGAAAGGCGTGGTGTGTTAGTTGTGTGTGAAGTGTTAAGTGACTATATGCATTGATAACAAAAGAACTAAAGACATTGATAACAAAGATACTAAAGGCATTGATAACAAAGATTTGTTGTTGAGTAGGCAGGGCATAATTAAAACAGAGTAGGGGTGTGTGTTTAAATGTGACAAGATTAAAGAGAAGTGTTTCTGGTTGGGTTTTTATTAAAAGAGAAGAACTACCAAGGCGAGAGTAAACACAAAGACAATAAGTGTGACAAAACTAGCAATTAGAAATCAATTAGACAATAAGTCTTAGGTGATTAAGTGTGACACAACAAGTAATCAATACCAACTACCAAGGAGAGAGTAAACACAAAGACAACAATAAGTATGATGTAGACACTCAAAACCAAAACTTGTTAATCAATTTCATTAAAGAAAAAAGCTAACCTGATTGGAAGCACAGCTGAACCAAGCATCATGCGCAGAGCCACCAAGCATCATGCGCAGAGCCACCAAGCATCATAACCAGAGCCACCATGCATCAAATTTAATAGAAACAAACGGATCAAATTCAATTTTGAAACAGAATGAAAGCGCAAAATTCAAAGTTAATGGAAACAAACGGATCAATTATAAGGTTCAAAACGACACTATTTGCGATTTTAAATGGAAACAAACGGATCATTTCAAAATTCCCAATCTTTTCAAATCATATGAACCCTAATTTATTTTGAAAACTTTCTGAGTCATGCTCGAACCCTAATTTGGTTTAAACACGACATGTTAACATCAGAGAACACTAATTTTGCTACCCTTAATTCCCAATTGTGAAACGCCTAATTTCTGACACAACCCTAAACCCTAATTTACGATCTACAAGTGAAATCAGAAAGAAATCATAGCTTTACTTACCATTTTCTCCAGCAGATGATGATAAAGACGGATTAAAAACGCAATCTCCATTCAATTCGACGGATGAAGCCGAGCGGCTGAGATTTTCCTGGTGGAAACTTCGAGAATTAGAGAGAGAGAGAGAGGGAGACAACATCAGAGAGTGAAGAAGGCAGATCAAAAACGAGATTCCTGAGAGAAAGAGATGAAATCGACGGATCAAAACCGTCGGAGTGATGAAATCGTCGGCGTTTCGCGAAAATAGAGAGAGAGAAGAAATCACGAAAACAGAACAAAAACACGGGCCACATTTTTTTTTCCCCTTTTGTTCGTTTTTGAACCATTCAGCATGCAACACGTATCAACATCTTAACATAAGAAAAACATCTTATTTTAGATATACATCTTAGCTTTGGTTTGTGGGTTTGATTAATTTTAATCACATTTAATCCTAAGATTTTGTTAAGATACTCAATATTATTACCATTGGAGATGCTCTTACATATGATGTGGATCCAATCAAATCAGTACAAGTATAAATTGTAGGTTTTTGAAGCAAACAATTTATTTAACATGTATAAATTTTGCAATTTAATTACACCTTTCTATTGTTGATTTTCTCGAGAAGCTACTGGACATTGCAGTGAATTTCATACCAAAGAACCAATTGGTGAAGACAACATACATGAATATCCTCCTCGGTTTCATCGAGACACTAAGCAACGATTAAAACAGAGTTATATAAAAGTAAATAGCGATGATAGAGTAGAAAAGGAGATTCAAATGAAGTATTTTATATAACTGAATTTGTGTTACAACTCGATTCATGTATGTACATTACTTAATAAACGAATGATTAAAACAGAGATATAAAAGACTACTGTAAATCTCAATCAACACACTATTGCTTTCGCAACCGATGGAACTGTAACAGACATTACCCTAGACGGCTCTCTCGTATCATTTGCAGGTCGGGGTGCAGGCATACACTTAGCGTGAACTATACGACCGTTCTTGGTTAAGTAGACTGCATCTTTGTACATCCAATCATCAGCTTCATGGCTAAAGAACTCTTCAAACGGCTCTTCGCATAACGCGCAATTCTTCTGATTTTCATCCGCAGGCACTATCTGTTGTTGTTCTTTCTCCTCTTCCTTCTTCTTCTGCGTTTCTCCTCCGAAAGATGGTTTAGCCGCTTCTACAGTCCCTTCTCCAGTTGCTGCACTAAGCCACAAAGATGCGCTTACCAACCATCCCCGCGATTTCTGCGGTTGCTGGCCCAATCTCATAGTGGTTTTAGCCATCCTGTTCTTCCTTACATGCCAATCCATATGCTTGCTATGTTCCTCTTGACATTTAAACCTAACCCCGCACGACGAACATTGCCTCGGCATATCCGAATACAGAGACTTAATCACAGATTCATGTCGCACATTCAACGACGATGGATTATCAAAGCTTAATCCAACGGGCAATGAATCACTTTTACTTGCTTCTGAAGTTTCCTTCTCTTTCTCATTCCTAAGAACGCTAAGTAAATCAGACAATTCTTTGCTCAAAACAATTGGTTGATGATGAGACATCGTTTGTGACACAACTGAAACCATGTTCGAATGATTCATCGGATTTTGAACATAAGTGTTTGGTACAAAATTCGGAGTTAGGGTTCTTGAATTCGGAACCCATTCAGGCAACGAATCATCATCATCAAGCTTACGATAAGGTAATGGAAGAGGAACAATTTGGGGATTAGGGTTTCCATAACCAACAATAAAGGGTTTCTGATAATTGTTGATGTTAGAATCATTGTTACGTAATGGAAAACTTGAATTAGAAGCAATCACATCAACACCGTAATTGTTATATGATTGAGAAGAAACCCTAGACATGTTATTATTATTTCTACCATGATGATGATACAGAGGAATATGACCAGATCGGAAATTCGTTTGCGGTTGCGTTTGCGATCTGAAACGTTTTTGCGGCGGCACGTAACGGTTCCTTTCCTCTTGTAAATCTCCGATTCCGTAACCGCGATTGTTGTCGATTCGTCTCTTCAACGTTGTTCCAGCGTTTGCGTTACGGTGTGCGTTTCTTTGAGCAGAGAAGAATCCGTTTGATGCCATCTTCGCGATTCAACAAGTTTCCAGAGATCGATCGAAGAATGAGAAAAAAAAAACCCCTAAATTTGGATTTGGTGATTGCGTTGAGAAAGAGGAGAATTTTTAGAAATTGAAACGATTGAAAAATAAAACGAATCTGAAGAGACAAGCAGATAGATTTTCTATAAATAAACGTTTATGTCGGTTGAGAAAGTAAACCGCGTGAATCGCGCGTTGCCACGCGTTTTGAGCCAGGCTTCAAAGGCCCAATTTATTAATGGGCTTCTTTATTGGGCCTTTCTAATTGATGTTCTTTCTTATTGTTGATCGACGGCAAATTAGCGAAGAGAAGAAGAAGAAGGAAGCTATGGATTCTGAGAAGGCACTAGAGCTTGTGAAGCATGGAGCTACGCTTCTCTTTCTCGATGTTCCTCAACATACACTTGTTGGAATCGATACTCAGGTTTGTTTACTTCTTCCAAGTTTAAAACTTTTTATCGAATTTGATTGAGTTTTGAACTTTTCTCAGTTTCGAAGTTGTTCCTAAGCTAAATTGTTAAGTGAAACTGATTCTACTTGTTGAATTTATTATTGTGTTAGTAGAATCTCTAGAAGAAAGTGTATGTGAGATGTTGTGAGTTAAAATTTGAGATTTTTGAGCTTCTGAAGATTCTTTAGTGATATATGTATGATTGTGATTAATTGTTAAACATATAAATCTTGTAACTTTATGAAGCCATGGAGAATGAAACACTATGTCATTGGCGTATACTAAAAATGTTGTGAATTCTCGTTACAGATTTTCGCAGTTGGACCGTCTTTCAAAGGGATTAAGATGATACCTCCCGGAATTCACTTTGTATTCTATAGTTCATCGACCAGGTTGAAGTCTTTTTTTTTTTTTTTTTTTTTTTGTGCTGTTGTATATAGTGTATGGTTAACTCATTAAAAACCGTAACATGGTTATCGATATACTTTGGCTGATAATGCGGACTTTCGTTTTTTTTTTTCAGGGATGGTAAAGAGTTTTCACCTACCATTGGCTTCTTTGTTGATGTTGGTCTTTCTCAGGTTTGGAATCAGTCTATTCTTAACAACTTTGAATATTTTGTGTTTGTGGTTATCTATGTAGATTGCTATTACAGAGAAAAAAACATTTAGTAATGTTCTTGTCTCTATTTGATATCCTGTAAGTAGCATCATGGAACTGTATAAACCGTGATATATTCACTATCTTTTGTTGACAATACAAGGTTATTGTACGCAAGTGGAATCAGCAAGACGAGTGGTTAGCCAAAGTAACTGAAGAAGAGGTATGTCCTTTTAATAACCTAGTGCAGTAATTTTCTCAATGTTGCTTATACGTTGGTCAGTGATTTGCATCTTTGTCTCAGTGAAATTGATATTTTTTTTATATTCATCCTCCTCTTTTGATGCTAGGAAGAGAGATATTCTCAAGCAGTCAGGTCTTTGGAGTTTGACAAACATCTTGGCCCATACAATTTAAGTCAATATGGGGAATGGAAGCACTTATCTAACTATATTACGAAGGATGTTGTTGAAAAGTTTGGTATGTGAACCTTATATTTGGTGGATTTTTTAACCACATTGTTAATGTTTTCCCTCACTTGAGTCGTGAACACTGTAAAGCTTGGCTTGTTCAAAATTTTACGTTCAATTTTGCAGAGCCAGTTGGAGGAGAAATAACGGTCACCTATGAATCTGCTATTCTAAAAGGTGGACCTAAAACGGCAATGGAAAGAGCACTTGATGCACAGATGAAGAAAAGCAAGTTTGCGGCATCATCTACTGAGCAACCCAAAGGGAATAGGTTTTATTACACTACTATTCCTCGGATTATAAAGCACAAGGGAATGTCTGGGCAAGAGCTGACCTCTATGAATCTTGACAAGGTAACTCCTCTTAACAATTTTTCCTCTTTGCATTTTCCCAAAATCCTGTGAATTTTTAACTTATGTCATTTCCTCTTTTTCTTTGTATAGACTCAACTGCTAGAAAGCTTATTGTCGAAGGAGTACAAAGACTCGGAAGACTTGCTTCTTGGGGAGCTACAATTTTCCTTTGTAGCATTTTTGGTATGTGCTGCCTTACCGTAACATATACTTCTTAGAAGCTGATACATACATAATGCACATATATGTATGATCAGTGGTCACAAATAGGACTTCTTCAGATTTGTTCCATTCTCAGATCAAGTTATGTTATTGTGCAGATGGGGCAGTCTCTTGAATCGTTCATGCAGTGGAAGTCCTTAGTTACTCTTCTACTGGGCTGCATTGACGCGGTATGTGATTTTGAAGCTCATTATGTTATTGTAATGTTCTCTACCAAAATCCCTTCTTCCTTTTAATATAATTGACGTGATGAGACGCGAAAGTACACCTTAAGCTCTGATGCAACAATATATCTCTTTCTTTCCTATGCTTCATGGCTCTTTGGTTTTTGACATATATATTTCTTTGTGACCTTTGGCAGCCCTTTCATACAAGGAGTCAACTATTTACAAACGTGAGTTTAGTCAATTTTCATTTTAAGTGTAGTAATCTGAGAGAATGCATCAAGATGATATGTAAATCTATATAGTATCTCGTCTTTCTCTATCTTTGTGTGCCATCCTAAATAGTATTATTACCTTGATGCATTTGTTGCAGTTTATGAAAGTCATCTACCATCAACTAAAATATGGGCTACAGAAAGAGAGTAATGGTCCTGAGATGGGCATTCATGCGCTTCTTGATGATTCTTGGCTAGCTTCCGATAGCTTTCTGCATTTGCTTTGCAAGGTAAATCTCTTACTGACAACATGCTTTCTCTGAGCGAGTATAATTCGTTTTGGGAGATCTAAAAAATTTGAGCCAAACTTTCGTTGCTTTGATAACAGGACTTTTTTGCTTTAGTGGAAGAGACTTCTGTAGTTGATGGAGATTTATTGTCTTGGGTATGTACAAATTCCACATAAACAGTAATTTGCAACCCTTATTCTCATGTCTCATGACGTTTCTCTACAGCAAATTCGTTTAACATTGGTCTTTTGCAGATAAGGAAGTTCAAAGAGTTGCTTGAGAACAGATTGGGATGGGAATTTCAGAAGAAGAGCGCTACTGACGGGATTTACTTTGAGGAAGATGACGAGGTAAATATATCCACCTCCAGCTTTGTCTTAAGCTTTCTTTTGCATTCTGTTTATTTTTCGCTCATGGACTCCCATTAATTTGACATGATGTAGTATGCTCCTGTGGTTGAGATGTTGGATGAAAGTCATGGAGAATATATGTCCACTTAGACATCGATCGATGCAGGTATTCGTTGATTTTATCCGACATTTTTGGGAGTTTTACTGGCGCAAACGTTTGCTTATGATGCTGATACTGATATATTAATCGAGGTTATTCTCGCTTACATATAGATAACGTTGCCACTAGCATGGAAGAGTGATTTGTAGTTAATGCACTATGCACATGTCCTTTTTACACAGTTAATAAACATAAGTTTGGTGTTTCTGGTTGGTGCATAGAACACTTGTGAGCAGTTTTCTTGATCAAATTTTATGGATATAAGTTCCTTGTAAGTTGTAACAGACACCATCTGACCAAAATCTCTGAAGAAATTTAAAATTCTGCGTTTAGATGCCAACATACCGATTACATAAATTCACCAAAATTTGGATTACATACACTAAAATTCTTCTACCTCGAGAAAAAAATGAGGAAAAAATTGGATTATACCAAAGAATGTGAGGATATTAGTCATAACAAAATATATTTGAAACCAAATTTAGAAGTGGCTACATCAGATTTGACTATTTTGCTTGCTTTTAACTTCCTGACCAAAGCTTATCTCTGTTTCAGTCTCTGTCTTCATAGCTTCTTCAGCTTTTGACCTCTCAAGCCATTCCAAAATGCGGCTGCCTTGATCGCTTTCTTACCAGAAGGCCGGACTTCTAGTACCTGAATCGCAACACCAAATTTAGCTTTTTAGATGATAGATTAATGTCTGATTACCACATCATAACATCTGCCTTTTGTATCAATAGTTAGTGAGTCTGTAACTTAGTTGATTTAGAGAATAGTGTCACTGATTACCTCTAAAGCTGTATCTCCTTTGCAGGGAAACATTAGTGAACCTTTCTTGAAAGTTACATAATCTTGTTCACCATCCCAGATTTCCAAAGCTTGACATACTCGAGTGGTGATGATTTTAAGCTCGAGCACGTTTTCCTGACCGCTTTTGTCATCGAGGACTACAACTTTAGCGCGTGTTCCTGGCCATCCTGCAAATGCACGAACATAAAAAGCGGTATTAGTTTATATATATATATATGATTGTAGACTAATTGAACTGAATGAAGAGTTCTATACCTTGTTATGCAAAACAAAAGCTTCCTGGTCAAAAGAGAGCCAAGCCTCATCTGGAGCCAACTATGCATCAATTGAATAAACGTTATCTCATACAGGAAGCAATATAGCAGCATTGCCTTATATTTTTCTGTGCCCTATTGTGAATGATACAAGACACACAACAGATACCTTTGGAGCTAAGGTAGCTTTAGGATCATCTTGGGGAACTGGTTTTGATTTTGCGGACCCATCGAGTATCGAGGGAAGTTACGGATAAGAAGCTTAGAACCTGCAAAGTTTATCTTCGCTTAGGTCCTAATCATAGAACCCAGTTATGTTCAAATAATTGTTACTGAAAAACATGAATTAACCTACAGAAACTAGGAACGAGAGCAGTTCTGGTGCCTGCAAATGATTCAAACAGAGGTCATTAAGATCCCGAAAACATAATAAGATGGGATAAAGCGAATACCTTAATTAGATCATCCACTTGAAACCTCTTAGAGGCAATCACTGGCCCTGAATCTAACTTACGCACCACCGTAAATGCTAATGTTACTCCTGTTTCAGGGACACCATCCTAGTGCAGCCACCAAGTGTTATTTTGCACACTTGATTCAAGAGTCTTATCATGTAGTAAGTAAAAACATGAAGAGTGAAAAAAGAAAAAGTGCACCTGTAATGCTCTTTGAACTGGAGCAGCACCACGGTAAAGGGGCAACAAACTTGGGTGCATGTTCACTGTCCCTAAACCATTAAATAATGGCTTCAAACACGCAAGACTCATTTACAGTATAAAGAAACAACATTCGGTTACATCAACCATCTAGAATAAGCAGCAACTTATAGTAACCATGTACCGGAATCTTAAGGAACTTAGTAGGCAAAATATTCCCATAACCTGCTGTAATACAAAGCGCAGATTGCAACTCTCTTAAAGCCGTTAAGAATGCTTCCTGCATATAAGAAATGCAATGTCATCTTCACAAGAAAGAAGAAGGAAAGATCACTATATTTCCGAAAGCAAGAAGTTGATTAATGAGACAAGAAAACTTACATCTCCTGCCTTCTCAGGGAGAAACTGAGATGAGAAGGTAAACCTTTATCGAGAGCATATCGCGCTACGGGAGAAGGCAAAACTTTTTTTCCACTATCTCTACTTGATGGAGCATGTGTAACAATGGCTGCAACCTAGAACAAAGCCGAATTAGCCGGGTTAAAAATCGGTTTAAGTAACAAGAAAAGTTCCTAAAGATCATCATAATCAGATACAATTTTTCAAATCTGAGTTAACTTGTAAACCAAGTTTGAGATTAAACTTGGAAGGAAGAGTTTGGTGCAGCAGATGCATTGAAAAGAGCTTCAAGTACAATCACGTAAACCTAATTTCACGGAAAAGGAATTAGATTAGGCTAAAACGCTAAACCCATGAAGATGTTAAAAATATCTCTTAACCTGAGGAGAGCCTAAGAAGATGAGAGACTTCTTCTTCGGAGACGCAGCCATAGAAGAAACATCCCTGATAGCCATATGATATTATGGCCCATATCTATGTGTTTCCAAGTTTTTGAACTAAGCCCGAGAAGAAGAATAACCATCCTCTGATTTGTCTCGCAAGTAACGACTCCGACCGTAACCTAACTCTCTCACCACCGACTCAACCATCCTCCCAGCCACTCCGGTTTCAATACCAATCTCTCGGCCACAACATACCAAAGCAGCTATTCCCATCATCCACATGGCTGCAGCTACCCCAACACCAACCATTGCTGCCACAAGAACCGCTACCATCACCATAAAACTGGAGCAAATATCAGCAGCAATGGAGAAGCGATCAGAAACAGAGTCACCGTCGCCACAAAGCTGAAACTCATCAGACCAAAAAGCGGCCCGACCACTGCTACAGCTGTTACGGTTGCAGCCACAATCGAAGAACCAGTCCTCCTTTCTCCATCGGTTATGGCTATGTTTCTTCATCTTCCTCCATGATTCTCCATAGTAGTAGTGTGAAGTTAACAGAGAATTTTGTAGCATTGGCTATATTGAAAGGAAGATGGTGGGCTACTGACACGTGGATGCCGATAAGCCACCCGACATGTGTATAGTCTTCTATACCCAAAACGCCAAAAACTCTCTCTTTACATTATCCACAAGACTTACGGATTTGAACCGGACTGAAATAACCGAATCGTATCTAAACCAAAACCGAACAAAAATTTAGCATTGAACCACATTGGTATAAGAAAATTTTGACTCTAACTAGAATGATCCAGTTATTTTTTATTCGTCAATGAAACATAGACAATTAGACACCAACAAATCCTCAAGTTCTAGGATTCATATGAAACTTTTGTTAATTGTTTTCGTACTTTATTTTTCGAGTCATGACTGATAATACAACATCATTGACGCAGGACTCGATGAAAGCTTGCTAGTATAATAGCGAGCCAAAGAATAGTTTCTTTAGTAAATAATGAAAAACGGAAGATTTTAGTAAAGAGGGCTTAGCTAAAATTTGATTTAGCAACTTGTGGAAGAGACTTGAGAAGAGAAGGTGATGGCCTCCGAAGAGTGTGATTGAGAAGTAGCATCAAAGTGAGAAGTGTTAAAGCTCCTGCTTGGTGTGCGCTTCCTAGTGAGACCGGAACATAACTCAGAAGCGTTGATACACCTAATGTCACCTGCAAAAAACGAAAAAACCCCATCAATGGTTTGGAGTTTAAGTTTCCATGAAAGTTTGTTGATTGATTTACCTGAACAGCAGTCATTCCGACGGTACTTCCGATCAAAGCTTTAACGGCTGGATGTATGTCTAGCTTCCTTGTGAACCACCACATTGTTCCAATTGCAATTAGGGTTGTGGTTGCAAGAAGGCGATGATCAAGCTGAAATTTAAGTAAAGTTTTTAAGTCTTTTTGAGACTATTGACGCAAATTGAGAAAGCTTTTTGTCAATGGTGTACCTGAACAGTTGCTGTGTTCTCGAAAAAGTTGCGTAAAAGTGGTTTCATCTCAAATATATTATCTGGGATCCATGTATCGCCCATTTTCGGGAATGTGTTGAATGCACGACCCTACAATTCACAAGCGGAGAGATCAAAATACTCAGCTTCCTTTCTGTAACTAATATAATAGAAGCTTAGATCCAAGTTTGTTAATTTACTTACAGCATCATTTCCAGCAACAAAGGCTCCTGAAATTGCAGTGATACCAACAATCAAGCTTACTGGTAATGCAAGCTTCTTCACTTTAGCGGCTCCCCTAACCCAAGCCAATGACTCAGCTGGTGGTTCAGGCATAACAACAGAGAGAGCGGTCCAGAAAAGTCCACAATAAATGGCAAAAGCTGAGGTCAGATGAGCTGCAAGACGGTACGGGCTTACCCTCGGTTGAGAATATTCAGATGGCGGCTCCTACAGGACCAAACTGATTACTGGTTACACAGCACATAATAACATCTAATAAGAGAATCTACAACAGTTCCTAATCTTTACCTCTAAACCACTTTTAACCATCCACCAACCAATGAGACCTTGTCCAGCACCAAGTGCAAATAAACCAGAGAGCTGAACTCCAAGACGTAGAGTAATATACCCTTTCCGCAGAAAATAGGAAAACGGCAAAGCAAACATGATTCCCAATCCTCTTCCCCACATTCGATGAGCATACTCCATCCAATATATAAACTTAAAATCTTCAAGATTCATCCCTTTGTTCACACTGCAAAACCACCAAATCCCAAAACACAAACAGCATTTTCAAAATCAAGAGTTGGTCCAAAGACAAAAAACGCAAATGCAAGCAACATAGCAACCAAAATCGCAAAACTAACCGCTTATATTCAGGAGACTGCATATATTTCTCAAACTCGCAAACCCATGCTTCATCTGACAGCGGAGGGAATTCACCAGTAAATTTCCAATCAGTCATGGATAAACCAGATCGAGTTAATCGAGTAACTCCGCCTAGAACAACCATGCTGAAAACCCAAGTAGCAGAACCAAAAAGCCATATGCCAACCCATTTACGAGCTTGAGGTCCTCCAGTGACAAGATGCTTCAAACCCTCTTTACTCTCTGAGCTAATCGACGCTACAGTTGACATCTTTCTAAACATTGAAGCATTTTGACCCTACACAAAAACATAATCTTAGAATCTAAGCAAACAAACAGAGAAATCTCATAATCAACTAACAGGAATAAAAAACCTCAACTTTAACATAAACCCTAATCAAAAGTATCAACCTTTGGGAAACTACCTTGAGAAGAGATGGCAAGCCATAGAAGGAGTTTCCAGCTAGAGAAGAAGACGAAGCAGAGGTTACAGTAGCAGCTGTAATGTTAGAAGTGAAAGCTTGATGAGACGAAGTGGTGAATCCTCGAGCGATTCCATTAAACGCTTCTTTGTTCCTCTTCAAAGCCGATCCCACTGCTCGAAACATGTCTATCTCTCTAGGGTTTAAGCAAGGTTTCTGCAAAGAAAGGAAATTGGAAACAAGATACATGAGAAACCAAATAAATAAATCTCAAACAAGTAGAGAATCAGAGATTACATACCTTGTCGAGTCCCACAGGACCAAGCGAGGTATTAACAATATTTGAACCCTAGAGATCGAGAACACACAATTTCCGATGAGAAGAAAGAGAGAATAGATTAGTGTGAGCAGAAATGATGGAAAAGTGAATCAAACCAAACGACAGAGAAGCTAGTAGCAATCTGATGAGATTAAACTTGAAGCACGAAGCAAAAGGAAGAGCCTTTCGAGATCGAAATTTGGTACCTGTAACAAAGTTTAGGAATTTCTCTTCTTCTTGTTCCCTATTAACGTCATCCACAGAAGATCGATGTTGCTGGAGAAAACCAAACCTTGAATTTGGCGAAGAAGACGAGGCAAAATCCAAGGATTCAAGCAGAGAAAAAGAATTTGATTATGAGGTTTTTGTTTTTTTCGTTAACTGTATTTTATTAAGCAAACTGTTACAAGTTTACAACAAATGTAGGGTCTGAGAGAATCAATGCCTAGAAAGACACTATAGGAAAAAAATGCTGGAATGCCACCTTCTAATTTCTAATTTTATTTAACATTTTTTTTTAAATCAAAAGCTAAAGAAATGTCTAAAAACCTTTTCAAAAGATCAACAATTACAAAATCCTACCTCAAATTTACTATCTCTACAACCAAACACTCCCAATCAATCTCCAATTATTCCCTAAAAAAAACCACCGTTCCTTCTGTCTCCTCCGCTCCTCCTCCTCTTCCATATCCACACTCGCTCTCTCCGCTTCCTCTTCTCTCTATTTCGCCAGATCTATCGTCTCTTCTCCACTTCTTTATTGTTCATCTCTCTCTCACATATGTCTCACTCTCTCTTCTAAATATTTACCGGAGAACCGTCACGTTTCTCCGTTCAAAATTGAGATTCCCAAGTTTGCGATCGTATCCGATGATAACAAGTTCACTCAGTTTTCGCCTCTCTATTCTACGATCCCGCCGCCTCCTCCTCAGTTTCCGTCGTCGCGACATCAAAGGACTGCTCTCACTTCTACTGCAACGATGGTGTCTCGAAATATATAGCTGCAAAATTACAAGACAACATCCTCTCAATCGAGTGTCTTGTCTCTGGTTGCGAGAGCTCTGGTCGGCTCGAGCCAGATAAGTGTCGTCAAATCTTGGCCAGAGAGGTTTTTGATCAGCGGGGTGATGCTCTTTCTGAAGCAGTATTGATTCGTTCAAAGAGATTCTACTGTCCTTATAAGGATTGCTCTGCTTTGCTTTTCATTGACGAGAGTGAAGTGAAGATGAAAGATTCGGAGTGTCCTCATTGCCATATAATGGTGTGTGTAGAGTGTGGGACTAAGTGGCATCCAGAGATAACTTGCGAGGAGTTTCAGAAGCTAGCGGAGAACGAAAGAGGAAGAGATGATATTTTGCTCGCGACGATGGCAAAGAAAAAGAAATGGAAAAGATGTCCTTCTTGAGAAGTCTCAGGGTTGCTTATACATGAAGTGCAGGTATATGTATCTTCTTCTTCTTCTTATCGCCTGTGATGCAAATTTGTGAAACAAAGGTTTTTTTTAGTAATTTGTTTAACACATTTTGTGTTTTGCTACAATAGTGGAACTCCGTCGATGGACCATTCTCATTATTGTAATTATTGTAAGCGTTGATTTAGCATTAGTATTTCCTATTATAGGTCTCTAAAAGTAAAGCCTAAAGCTAAAAATTAAGCTTTATGGATATGGATTTCAATTTGGTCTTGTTCTGAAGAGATTGTTAATGCAATATGAACAGGTTTTTACATTGTTAATAAACATAAGTTTGGTGTGTCTGGTTGGAGCATAAGAACACTTGTGAGCAGTTTTATTGATCAAAATTTATGGATATAGGTTCCTTAACAGACACAATTTGATCAAACAAATTTTACATTTTGCTGCTAATGCGGCTCTATTTGATCATGTTATCCCAAAGAATGTGGGTATATTAGTAATTGGTGATTCAAAAGCAATTTGGAAGTGGCTACACCTGATTTGACCAAAGCTTAGTTTTGTTTCAGTCTCTGTCTTCATAGCTTCTTCAGCTTTTGACCTCTCAAGCCATTCCAAAAGGCGGCCGCGTTGATAGCTTTTTTACCAGGAAGCTGGACTTCTAGTACCTGAATCAGTAACACCAAATATTAGCTTTTAAAATACTAGGTTAATGTCTGATTACCGCATTATAACATGTGTGTTTTTTTGTATCACAGTGAGTTTGTAACTTGGTTGATTTAGAGAATAGTGGCAGTGATTTGTCTATAGCTTTTACCTCTAAAGCAGTACCTCCTCCACAGGGAAACACCAATGAACCTTTCTTGAAAGTTACATAATCTTGTCCACCATCTTGGATTTCCAGATCTTTGCATACTCGAGTGGACATGATTTTAAGCTCTAGCACATTTTGCTGACCGCTTTTGTCATCGAGGACTACAACTTTAGCTCTCGTTCCCGGCCATCCTGCGAATGCACGAACCTGGAAAGCCGTTTTACTTTTTATGTTTAGGATTATAGACCAAGTGAACGAAATGAAGGGGTTCTTCTACCTTGTTATGTAGAACAAAAGCTTCCTCGTCAAAAGAGAGCCAAGCCTCATCTGGAGCTATCTGTGCATCAGTTGAATCATTTCAGTCACAAAAGAACCAAATTTCGAATCAGATTACGTTATCTCATACATGAAGCAATATAGCAGCATTGCCTTATAATTTTTGTGCCATATTTTGAACGATACAAGACACAAAACAGATACCTTTGGAGCTAAGGTAGCTTTAGAATCATCTTGGGGAGCTGCTTTTGATTTTGCAGACCCATCAAATATTGAGGGAAGTTCACGGATAAGAAGCTTTGAACCTGCAAAGTTTATTTTCGCTTAGACACTACTCACATATTTTTTACTGAAAAGCATAAGCAGGTACTGCTCTCGTTTATTATATTACCTTCAGAAAATAGGAACGAGAGCAGTTCTGGTGCCTGCAGATGATTCAAACAGAGGGGTCATTGACATCCAGAGAATATAATAAAGATGATGAGCTACGTTGGGGATAAAGTGAATACCTTTATTAGATCATCCACTTGGAACCTCTTAGAGGCAATCACTGGCCCTGCATCTAACTTTCGCACCGTAAATGCTAATGATACTCCTGTTTCCGGGACACCATCCTAGTGTAGCCACCAAGTGTTATTGTGCACACTTGAGTCAAGAGTCTTAGCAATGTAGTAAGTAAGAGGCTAAGCAATAAGAGGGAGAATGGAATGAGTTAAGATTGATTTGCACCTGTAATGCTCTTTGAACTGGAGCTGCACCACGGTACAGGGGCAACAAACTTGGGTGTATGTTCACTGTCCCTAAACCATTAAATATTGGCTCAAAACACAAGACTCATTCGCAGTATATTCGTTTCCATCGACTATCTAGAATGTTCCATTCAGTATCAACTTTGACTAACCATGTAATGGAATTTTAAGGAACTTAGTAGGCAATATATTCCCATAAGCTGCTGTAATACAAAGCTCAGGTTGCAACTCTCGTAAAGCCGATAAGAATGCTTCCTGCATAGAAGAAATGCAATGTCATTGTCACAAGAAAGAACGAAAGATCACATCTTTCTTTCCAAAAGCAAGAGCTTGATATTAACCACAAAAGAACCCTTACATCTCCTGCCTTCTCAGGGGAGAAAATGAGATCAGAAGGTAAGCCTTTATCAAGAGCGTATTGCGCTACAGGCGAAGGCAACACTTTTCTACCCCGATCTCTCCTTGATGGAGGCTGTGTAACAATGCCTGCAACCTAGAACAAAAGCCGAATCAGCGGGTTCAAAACCGGTTTAAGTAACAACAAAAGTTCCTAAAGATCTTCACCAACAACAAAAGTTCCTAAAGATCTTCACCAACAACAAAAGTTCCTAAAGATCTTGTTTCATAATCAAAAGGGTTAACAAAATCAATATCACATTGTTCATAAACAATCAAATTTCCCATTAACAAGAATCAAAATCAGAAAACATTCAAATCAGAGTTCCATTATTCAAAATCTCAATTTCACAGTGCCAGTTTCAGATTATACCTCAAAGGAAGAGTTTGGTGCAGCAGATGCATTGAAAAGAGCTTCAAGCACAGTCACAGAAACCTAATTTCACAGAAAGGAATTAGATTAGACTAAAACCCTAAACCCATGAAGATGTTAAAAAATCTCTTAACCTGAGGAGAGCCTAAGAAGATGAGAGGCTTCTTCTTCGGAGACGGAGCTATAGATGAAACAGTTGAAGAAGCGTTGTAGCAGATGAAACGACGTAGTATCATTGTTGCTGCTTCAATGGTTTCGAAGCTTCTTTTGGGAGACGAAGATGATAATAGGATTATGTGATTTGGTTCGAACCGGTCGTAACCGGATTGAACCGGAAAGTAAAACATAACCAAATCGAAATGATTTTTAATTCGGTTGAGTAATCTTCTGATTCATAATTTGACTCCTCTTTAATGGAAACTGTGTTTCTTCTTTGGTTTTTCACAATGGTCAAGTGGAATTTTGAAATTTAACAGATTTGGGAATTTGGTGATTTTTTTCATCTCGGAGTAAATTACCATATATTGAACCAAAAGATTCAAGTAAAAATTTGTCTAAACAGAAAAAATATTGGGTAGTTTCATTATGATGGATCAAAGCTTGTAAACAGGGGTGATTCCAAGAAGGTAGAAGCATTTCCGCATGACTATAGCTGTTGCTTCGCAAAGTAAGAGACGGCTTGTCTCCTCTGCTGAACCATTCACCTGTAAAGAGAAAGATGAAAACAATGGCGGGTTTGCTTGGTTATACAGTCTAATCAACGGTTTAGATAGAGAAGTAGGATTTTGGGAAGGCTCACCTGACAATTGGAGTAGAATTTGGTGAACTCTTCGGATAAGTAGTAAAGGTACTTGCACAGCACGTTCGGTAACAATGTGGTGCACGCTTCCTCAACCGTCTGCAAGCAAATTGTTCACACAACAATTGTTCATCTTCTTGTTACCAAGAATATCAAAGTACAAATCTAATGAGCATGTGTTTTTTTTACCTCAGCAAATTGAAGCAGGTGAAGCCCCAGTGCCCGTTCCGCTGCATGATCCAATGCTATCTTTCCTGTCTGCAATAAAATAAGTGTTAGCACATTACACAGACTTTGTAGGTGTTTGAGTTCATGCTGCTAAAATACCTTTTTTAGCTCATCTATGTCTTTGCCAGACTTTCTTATGATTGAGCAGATCCGAGCATGGGCGTAAAGAAGGTAAACGGCTGTATCTCCCTACATGATCAAAATATTCAATAAGCATGTGTAGATGACTCAATAATGCAAATATGTAGACTAGCTCCAAAATTCCAGTACCTTGTCATTAAGCATTTGATCAAAGCTGAAAGTATAACCCGTCAATCTGTTGGTCTTCAGGTCAGCATACCTTGAAAGCAAATTCAACAAAACCACAAGTCATTTATCACATTTGTGCAGCCTTGGTTACAAAAGTCATCGAAAACCAGAGGATACTAAATAGAATTCACTATCACCAGTACCAGCAGTAGAATAGAGATTAATACTTACTTCAGCGCACCGTATCAACTGCCTCAGCTGTTTGGTCCAGCTCCTCAGGTGTCCATTCTTTGTCCATACCTAAACAGAGAAACAACATATACGGGATGAATAAGACCATATAATTACTGAACAATGAATAGTACAGTAATTTAGAGAGTGCTGACACAAAGTTGGATACCTCGCTCAATAAGGGCAGCTTTACTGCGATCCTTGGCCTCATCTAGCAAATCAACTAGTCGGACTACCTCGTTTGCCCGAGTTCTAAATCGCTTGTTATCAGCTCCAAGGACAAGACCAAAACCAACATGGTTAACTCTAGGGTAAGTTTTGTCATCGTCTGGAAGCCAGCCTGCTTTTCTGGCAGCCTGATTCAGAGTTACATGATAACCACAGTTACGACTGACAGTTTCAATCAAGACAACATTCACAAGACGTGAAAAACATATTCATGAAACCTACTTTAAAGAACATATGAAAGTGCTGCTGCTGGCCAAGGTCGGTCAAATATATAATCCACTCAGCTTTCTCTTCATTAAGCCGATACCTGGGCCAGGAAGATTTTAGCACCATCAGACAATACGGAAGTCATAATATATGAGATGTATTTTCCAAACATTGCTACTAAAGTCCAGATAAACATAAAGATAGCCCACCAAAGAGCAGTCAGATCGGTAGAGGCATAGTTAAAACCACCGTTACTCTTTACAACCATGAGTGGGATGTTAAAGCCTTCGACGAATATCACACGAGCACCTTCATTTTCTTCAACTAACCCCTTGCTGCTCAATTCCTCAATTACGTTAGCGATATAAGGGTTGTAAAAGCTTTCTCCCTGTCATAAATCAATGTATTTTCCATTACACATCCATGTATATCTCTTTCCCATTCTGTCTCTATAATTTAGTATAGGTCCCAACTATTCCTTTACCTTTTCTTCAAGCTCGACTCGAAGGCGTTGGTACACCTTGGCAAACTCATTTCGGCTGATTTCACAAATCTTAGCCCAAGCCTTGCGGTAAACAGGATCTCCACCCTAAAACAAAGAAGTGATTTAGATTTTGCAACTAAAGGTAGCTGCAAATTGAGACACTGAGAAACAGAAGAATGCACCAGTGATTGAGGATAAAAATTGTTATTTACCTGTAGACGGACCACAGCCTGTTGTGCCTTTTCCTTAAACTCCGGATCCAAATCAAATCTCAATTTTGATTTCTTGTAAAACATCTATCAGAGGACATCAAAAGTTAGAAACTATATTGCTATGGTTTTTCACATGAAGCATATTATGCCAATATTGGTAAAGCTTGAGAAGCCATATGATGCAAGGCAGCTGACCTGAAGATCTCCAATTGCTGTCTCGGTCACACTATCTGTATCAGGAAATTTCTCAAAGAGAAACTCAATCAACATGCCAAACTGCAGAATAAAAGCAGCTTTTATTTCTTCGATAAATTTCGGGAATACAATATATAAAAAAACTCGGTTTCAAGGTTAAGAAATCATATAAAGGGCAGAAAAGTAGCTAGCTACCTGTGTTCCCCAGTCACCAACATGGTTTCTGCGTAGAACTTCAACCTTTGAGTACTCGAGCATACGAGCAAGCGTATCACCAATGATAGTTGATCTTAGATGACCAACATGCATTTCTTTAGCAATGTTGGGAGAGGAAAAATCAACTACAGCTCTCTTAACAGAAAGAGTAGGCGCCCATGTATCAATTCCATCGATAAGCATATTTTCAATACTCTGCGGATAGATTACAAAACAATTATGACAAACACAAAATTATTTACTAGAATTGACAATACAACAGGATCACCTTAGCTATCCACTTAGCTGATAGTACAACATTAACAAATCCAGGTCCAGCTATAGAGCATGATTCCACCATCTCAGAACTAGGGAGATTCTTAATAAGAGCCTAGGTGAAAAAGGAAACAGAATACGAGTTAAAAGAGATATCAATTCTGCTTCACAACATACATCACACAAAAAGCCACGAAATTTAAAAGACCAAACCAACAAACTAACCAATCAACCAACCTGTCCAACAGCGGGAGGACCCTTGAACTGCGTACCCTTTCCTTTGATAATGGACCATAGTCCCATTGCATTGTTACTGCAAACAACAACAATATGAGGAAAGAGAAAACAACTTAGTTGGTACTTAAAGTGAAAGAGGGAGCACCATTGGTAATCTCCGAATTTGGCAGGCTCAATCAAGGGCTCAACGTTAGGTTCATCAGGAACAGTTAATTTAAGAGACACCTCAAAGAGCTTAGCGAGTTCCCGTAAATTCTTTATTCTGTCACAGCAATCAAAAACACAGTCATGAAACAGAGTAAGAAGAATATCAAATTACACTTTCTCCAAGATAATAAAAAGGGTACTGTGACTTACAGCTACAATGGTTGCCATCAACAGTTTCTTGGTTGCCAAAGGAAATGAAATTCTAGTTAACAAAAAAAAAACACAAATAGCAAAAATCAGTACAAGCATTAACTTATCAGTACTTAACTAGAAGAAATCTTCAAGCAAACATCATTTATAAATCAAGTAGCTTTACAAGGTCTCTTTGTGATTCTTCTAGTGAAATTCCAACATTTGGGTCAGCGTCTCTATCATCGGTAACAAAGTTATTCATAATTCAAGTAAAGTTTAAGAACAGACTTGAGACACAAAATCCAGAAGAAGTAAATCGAAATCACGAGACAGTTGAAATCTTCAATGAACAATCTAAGCTAATGAGAGAACGTACCTGAGGCCTGAGCTCACCGGCCGGAGCTGGAGAGAAGAGAAAGCTGATGAAGCAAAAAATGGAGCCGGCGACGAAAACTTGTTTAGGGTTTCGGGAATCGGGACTTTTTATTAACACGTGTGCATTTTAACCACTTACAATAATAGACGTCATAAACGTGTTTGACAAAAGTCAATTTCCAATAGACTTGATTTTAAATGGGCTTTAACGTGAGGCCCATTATTAATTTGTCGCTTATTTTTCATCCGACCAAGTATAATAAAATTTCATTAATCTATCTATACATTTTTGGATCACAATTAGCAAATAAATCCTGAAGTTGAGAAATATTTACAATGGCATGCCATTAGCATTAATTATTTAGATTTGTTTTATTTAAGTAAAGATTTTTAAATGAAATTCATTTTTCATATATTTAGCAAAAGTCTCTACAAAATCTTTCCTTATCTATTTAAGTAAAGATTTTGAAATCAAATATGTTCTCAACAATTTACCAAAAATCTCTACACAATCTTTTTAAAAATCTCAACTTAGTTAACTTCTGATTTTTATCTGCAAAAAAAAAAAATTAATAGTAACGAGTGATGTAAAAATCGGGAATGTTGATATTACAATTTCTTCTACTTCTTTTTTTTTTTCATATAATGAAAATTATTTTTAGGGATACTTTCTCAAAACCTCTAAATAAAACAAAAGGTTTCAAAAGATAGCTTCTCTTTTGGTGGGTCGACACGCAAACCCACAACTCTCAACGGGCTTATCCGCATGAACCTGCGACCCGTAGTGGATAAAAATATTATTCAAAAAATAACAAATGATGTTTAATTTTACGGGACGGGGTTATATGGTGCAACGGGGTTAGATCGATATTAATATTAAACAATATACTATGGATGAAATTTTAGAATTAAAAATCAAAATTTAATTATAAAATCAGAAACACTAAACAAAATAAACAATATTAACAAAACAAATACAACTTAAAATTTTGCTAAATAATTTTTTAGTTATAAAAAAATCAACCCGCGGTG